AAATCGGGTTGCGACCAGAGTCACGGAACGGATTAAATTCGTAACCTGAGGTACCACTGTAGAAGAAATAACCTTGGGTCATCTAATCCAAATTGACCGCCTGCCATTCTCTGGGATTCTGGGCGGTTTTCCTACTTGAAGAGTGAAACGTGGATAAGGACCCTCGGGGGACCAAAAGGGGTGAAAGGAAACAGTCTGTACGAGTTTAGAAGCATTTTTTCTTCTGTATTCCTTCATTATTAATTTTCACACACACACACTATACCACACAGATACGCAGTATTATGCAAAGTGCAAAAAAAGAATAAGAGATGGTGAGTGGAGGGATTAAAGGAAGGCAACAAAGAAAACTTCACCAAATCTAGTTTAGACCATGCCCAACTGCTATTCCTCATCAGCCCCTCCAATCCTGGCTATTTTCAACTCTTGTTTAACCTTTAGAGCAGGGTTCCTCAACCTCAGCAACTTTAAGATGGGTGGACCTCAACTCCCAGAATTCCCCAGCCAGCCTTGCTGGCTGGGGAATTCTGGGAGTTGAAGTCCACCCATCTTAAAGTTGCTGAGGTTGAGGAACCTTGTTCTAATACTTCTGGCACGTCCCCTTCTCCAACTGGCGCTCCAAAGAAGGGAGGGAGGGAGATGCTCATGAGCCTCGGACCAGATTCGGTTCTTTTGGGAAAAAACTATTTCTTCAGAAAGTCAACAGAGGCACATAATGCTACTGACTAATACAGGCCATTTCTCTCCAGGTGAAAGGATGGCAAGCCCAACCATTCAGATGAGATCACGATTACGCAGCCCCAAAGCCGCACCGGTTGTCAGAGTCTGCCAAAGCTGCAGACGGTGGTCGCTGTGCGGAACGCCTGGAAAGGGGGGACCCAACTTTTGCTGAATGGGTTTGCTAACAGACCTCCAGATTTTAGGTCGGGTAACAGCCAGGCATGTTTTTCTGTTCTCCAACTCGTCGATGGAAACATTTCCATCCAGGCGTGCCGCTCCCAGCTCACCCCAAGCCTCCTGCTCGACGAGCCGAACAAAAACTCCCGGCCCGTCCTGGAAACGGATTTCAAGCGGACGATGCTATCTGCTCACGGCCTCCGCTGGGTTTCTCTCCCCCCCAGCAAGGGAAATACCACAGACGATACTTTCCAGAAGACTAAGGAAAAGAGATTTCCTTTTATGTGAGGAACTGCAAAACTATTTCCCCTGTGGACACGGGCCAGCAGTAGGTAGGAGGCCACGGTCAGGAGGCCACGAGAAACATTCAGGAAGACGACCTCCCGGCGGGTGAACAAAAGGGAGCTGCTGACCGCAGACCTTCATCATCACTGAATGCAAGAGGCAGCCAAAATCTGACGGATCGGGTGGAGACACCCCCCGCAACGCCCCCCAACTTTTCTAAGGCTCCCTGGAGGCTCTTCATTCTTCAGATCACCCACACGTGGCCTGAACTCAGGGAAAATTTTGGCCGCACCCTCTTGGAGGGTCCCAAATGGGTCGCTGCCTTCCCAGACGGAAGGCTCTGATCCGGCGTCCTTCCCTGCAGGATCCACTGGATTGCTAGCAAAGCAGCAGAAGGCCCTGCCCGCCGTTGCGCCACCCTCGAAAGCACCCCACTCGGCTCGGCTCCTTCCCAACCCAGAAGCGGGACAGAGAGGAACCCGCAAGAAGGGGAGGCGAGGCTTGTGCCCCCCACCCGAAAAGCAAGACGAAACAACATCTGTCCTGGGCACCTCTGCTATCAGTGGTTTGCAAAGCCTTTCCCCGTCTCTTGCCAGCACATCCTGGTGTTGTCGTGCGTAGGAAAGCCCGTGGGACCTTCCATCAGGGAGGGAGCCAGGTCAGAGGT